GCACTGCTGTGGCAGCTGGGAGACCGGGGAGACGCTTGTCAGCACCGCCATCAGCCCAGCTGCCCTGGGCAGGAGAGGGGCTGCGGGTGTGCTGCAGCAAAAGGGGTTGCACGGGGTCCCAGAAAGGGCCACTCGCATCCTCCCTGAGTCCCTGCTGGGCACTGGCAAGCCAACGTCTCTGGGAAGAGCTGCATTACTGATTAACAGCCCCCTGCCTGCCCCCCCACCCCACCGCACTCACACCTTTGCCTGCGGCCGCCTCCTTGGACCCTCCTTTGGGCAAAGTCCAGGGCCAGGCAGGAGGGGCAGGGTGGGAGCTCGCCCCAGGGCTCACCCCGCTGGCAGCCTCACCGCACCCCACATACCTGGGCTGGCTGGGGAGGCCTCCCTGGGCTGAGCTACGGAGCAGCACGAGCCACCCAGCGTGCAGGCAGGAGCATCCCTCTCCATCCAGGGCAGCAGAGAGGGCACAAGTGGGCTCCAGCCACGGTGCTAATCCTCCGCGGACCGCAAGATTGCTGCGGCACACCCCCGGCACACCCCCAAAGGGCCTCAGGGGCCTGAGCACGATCCAAGCAGCAGCAGCAGCTTGGCTGAACCCCCAGCTCTGCGTCACACCTGCTGGACACCCCACCGTGGGTTTATCGCTGCCGTTCCCCTCCCTGCCCTCCAACCAAAGGAGTGGAGTGGGCGCTGTCTCCATCAAGCAAAGGGTCTGGGGGGACTTTGACAAGCCCCTTCCCACCCCAGGCACTGCAAGGAGTCCTTGGGGGGAGGGGGGTGTGTGTCCATCCCTGTCCCTTCCCTCCACAGTCCCCCCGCTCTGCAGAGCCCAGCTGGGCAGCTGTGGGATCCCCCACCCCCAGGGTGTGCTGAGAGGGGGCCTAACCAGGCACCACTGCACCCTGCCCAAGCCTGTCCCAGTCCCAAAACCAGGGTGCTCAATGCTATCTCGGGGTTCCCAGCCAGCACTGCCAGCTCACTCCAGTGCTGGGGATCCACGGGCTTGTCCCAGCCCAGGAGCAGCCTGCAGGGGATTCCTCTGGCTGCCAGCACCAGGCTGGGGTGCAGGGCCCCGGCACCGCTGGCTCAGGGACAGGCAGCAGGACCAAGCATGCTCCCTTGGGCACTGCCTGGGATCACCCGTCTCCTCCACAAGCACGGGCGGGCCTGGACAGGCGTCCTGCACCCCCCTGTCACTGTCCACCCTTCCTCTGCATCGCAGCACCCCACTGTGCTCTGCCCGCTGCGGAGGCCTGCAACCTCCCTGCAGTCACACCAACCCCTCTGCCCCAGGGGGCACCCAGGGGTGAGATGTCAGGGGTCCCTCTCCTTCTGGCGAGACGGAGCAAAACCAAGCAGCAGGCTCGAAGGGGACAGGCAGACGCCACGGTTGCACACACTGCCCCTGGAGCAGGCAGACCCCTGCCCACACTCCTGCCAGGGGCCAAAGCCCCCCGCACCCCAGCCCACAGCCGGGAGCGGTGGCAGAGGATCTTGCACTGCCCCACCGTGGCCACCATGGGAGGTGCGGGTGGCCCCAAAACCCAGCCTCCTGCCTTGGAGCTGGGGTGCTGGGTCCTCGCTCCAGCAGAGCCTGAGAAACAGTCGGAGGGGTCTGCGCTGCCTGTCCTCAAAGAGGCGTTCGCCCCGTGCCAGGCCATCTGGGGGGCTGCCACAGACCCCTCCGAGCGGCTTGGTGACCCCAGTCCTGCCCCACTTGCCCCAGACACCCCACTCCTGCACCAAGTCCCTGACCTGTGCTACCCCTCACGGGGCCAGACCCTAGCGCAGAGCCCCCGGGGTCCTGAGGAGGCACAGCCCAAGCCCATGCCTGGGAACGGCCCGTGTGAAGGAGGAGACGAGGCAGCGCTGCGGTTTGGGCATCCACATTTATTACATGGCTGGGGCAAGCCCGGGGCTGCCACTCACCTGGGCCCCTCCGGTTGAAGGCAAATGACCCCTCCTCCTTAAATATTGGTTATAAAACAAATTTCTTTTTTTCCTTTTTCTTTTTCTTAAAAACCCCATCTCTCTCTCTTTCTCTCTCCATACTTTTTTTGTCTTTTGTATTTGAGTATAAAAGTGGGGGCGGGCGCTCCGCCTTGCCTGCCGCTACCTCCGTAGGCTGCGCTGTGCCTGCCGCAGCAGCGTGTCGAAGTCCAGGGAGTCAAACTTGCTCTTGACGGGAGCTGGGTCGAAATCCTCCCGGTTTGAGTCTGGAAGACACAGGGAGAGACTGTCTTGAGCCATGGGGACACCGGCACAGTTCTGGTGATCCCCCACAGCAACTCCTTCCCATCCCGCTGCATGTGCCAACCTCTACACCCAGAGCTGGGCTGATGGAGGACCAGACCTGGCCTCCACCACAGCGCCGGAGGGACAGGGAGCCCCTGTCCAGCCTCCCCTTGGGGCAGGACTGGACGTGGCCCTGCCCAGCCAAGCCTGACTGACCCCAAGGATGGGGACCACTACACCTCTGGGAAGGAGAGGACCCACGGTGCCACCCCCCAAATTGGGGGCTGCGCGACTCACCCAGGTCGGCATAGTTCCTCCTGCAGAACTGCCGGCGGCCGCCGAAGCACCGGGCAAAGGGCTGCTCGTCCGGGCGCCGCAGCTTGTGCCCGCTCTCGATGGCGGCAAAGGCTTCCTCGGCATAGCGGTAGGTGACAAAGCCATAGTTGTCCCTGGAGCCAGAGGAGAAGTTCAGCAGCAACGCAGTGTGTTTGTCCCCCCTTGGTCTGCACCGTCCCCTTGCGGAATGGGAAAAGGGCCAAGAGGAGCCATCCCTGGGAAGGGGCTGCCCCATGTCCCTGCAGCTCTTACCCCTCGGAGCGGAAATGCAGGGTGCACTCCTCGATGTCCCCGAACACAGAGAAGCGGTGCCGCAGCTCCGACCGCGTCATCCTGCTGGGGATCTTGCCAATAAACACAACTCGCCGCTCCTCCTGCAGGCAGGGATGCACCGTCCCATGAGACGGGAACGGGAGGACTCAGCATCTCCAAGCCCTCCCAGTGAGCAGGACCCCTCGCACCGAGCGCCCTCCCTGCATCACCACCCATCGCACCATGCCCTGGCCAGAGCCTCCCAGCGATGCTGCCTGCCAGGCTGCAACCCCACAGCTTTCTGAAGTGATGGAGGGGCTGGGAACTCCCAAATCTCCAGCCCCAGCCTCCCAACTCTCCAAGCACTCACTATTGCACGTTCCTTCTGGAGGATCCTCTGCCTTTGGTAGTGGTCCTGTGCGTCGTAACTGTATCTGGCAGGGCAGAAACCAGACACATGAGCTACAGGGCCATGGGGGTGCCAGAAGAGAGTGATCCCAGACACAAGGGAGATACTGAAGGAGTGGGTCCACCCCTGCCCGGGACACAGGAGGCCGGGAGATGGGTTGAGGGGAGCTCACACCCCTGCAGGGTGGCCACGCTCACCTTCTCCGCCTGTTACTCCTCCTGCGGGGTGAGGGGGAGCGGGAGCGGGACTGGCTGCGGGACGTGGACCGGGATGAGTAGGAAGATGTTGATGATGAGGATGAGGACCTGTCCCGGGACCTGCCACATGACCCACAACTGGAGCGGGAGGAGGAGCTGTGGGAACATCTTGAGCGGTACCTGGGGGAAGGACAGACACAGCTCAGTGCCGAGCCCTCCCCGTGCCTAGCACCACGAGGCTGCAGAGAAGACAAAGACCTCCACCCTCCCCCAGGTACCCAGCACCCCGCTCGGACAAGACCCAGGATGAGCTGGGCTATGGACACCTCTGCTCAAGTTTGCCAGGGCAGTAATGACACTACAGAGATGTTGCTCCAAACACCGCAGCGAAAAGGGAGCAGGCTCACAACAGGCACAGCCTCTGAAGAGCACGAAATAGTCATGGGGGAACGGTGCAGCTTGTGGCTGTGACCGGGCAAGGGCCCAGGAGGAGCTGTGCCAAGCCCCACACGGTGCACGGGACAACGCTGGAGTCACCACATCCATGCTGCACTCTACAGCCGTGCGAATGGAGACCACACATGCCCCTGACCACACCGAGGGCCATGGCATGCACTGGGACAGGGCTGGGCTTCTGTGCCCACAGCCTCCTGCCTACAAGAGCTCCTCTGGCAGGGCCAGGCAAAGCTTATGGGCAGCAGGACCGAAACCCCTCTGGGATCAAGCTGTGCTGCCTCCAGCCAGCAACAGGGTCCCTCCCTAAACATGCTGCCCATGGGTGGTCCCTGCCATAGGTGAACCCAGGCCCTGAGCAGGGTGTGCTGCCACATATTCTCCTGGAGGACAGCAGGTCAGGACGGCACAGTCCGTGGGGACATTTCCTAGCACAGGGCCAGCTGCATTTGCTGGAAAGCCAAGCCAGAGAGGGCAAGTCCCTGAGCTGCATGTCTCTGGGACATGGCACTATATAGGTACCCTTTCCAGCTCCAGCCTCCACACCTACTGGCCACCGATGGGGGAGCTTGGTTGGACAACCCCTTCATGCCCAGTGACCTGGGGTGTCTCCAAAACTGGCTGAATGCCCAGGGAAGGGCAGATGAGGGATCCCTCACCAGCCCCAGTGCCTCCCACCCCAGCTGGGACAGGCTGTGCATCACTCAGAGGCACAAGGACTCCGAAAGAAATGCTTCCCACAGAGACCAAGCTGCCCCACTTCTTTTCTACGCAGCCACCTCCACAAGGAGCACAGGGAAGCCCTGAGGCAGCCAAGCCAGACGAGTTTTTCTCTGCTTGCCTCCAGCAGCTCCCTGCTGCCATTGTGGCTCCTCTCATTTCCACACCTAGGGCTGTACCAGCCCCACAGCACAAACACCGACACCTGCACTAAAAGCCCAGCAAATGCAACCAAGAGCCAAGGTGCAGCCAAGGACTTGTACCATGGTGCTCCAGGAGGGGTAACGAAGCCTGGCTCAGAGGTGGCTTTAGAGGAACACATGCCTAGACGTGGGGTTCAGCCAGACACCCACTGCCCTGGCAGGGCATCACAGCAGCTCCCCTGGTCTCTGCTGCTTACAGCGAGCCAGACACCCCTCAGGGGGGCCACAAGGACAAAAAGGTTGGATACGGCCATCGGGTAGGTCCATAAAGAGGTGTCTGGGCACCCTCGCACAAGACTGACCACCAGGCAATTGCCCAAAGAGCAAGCAGACAGACGCTGCACCACTTACCTTCGCCACCGCTTAGGCGGTGGGGAGAACGACCGTGACCGGGATCGGGAGGACGAGGATGAAGATGAAGATGAGGACTCGCTAGCTCCATCCGAACTGGAGCTAGGGGTGGGCCGAGTCCCGGGGTCTCCGGTAGCAGTGCAGAGACCTCTTGGCAGAAGCATGGCTGGGCTGGGCACTGGGAGTCCGCACCTCCTGGTCCCGGCAAGGGGATGCAGCTGGAGACAGGAGCACCGAGGTGGGGGGGCTGCTGCACCCGGCGGTGGCCTTGTTGGGGACGCTAGAGGAGATGGGTTTGATAGTGATGTCCCGATGGTGTTTGACGTTCCAGCGGGAGCCGCCCTCGGTCGGGGGCTGCGTGCTGGGGCTGCTGTTGCTCTCCGGCCGTGCTGCAGCTGGGATGCAGTAATCGTGGTCTCCCAAGCAGACGTGGCTGGGGGCTGAGGTGGCAGGGGCCGGTGCCAGGCTCTTCCCCTGGAGCTTGCTCTGGGGCAGCAGCTTGGCTTTCGTCAGGTTGGCTGTCTTCTGGGGCCCTTCCTGG